TTTTCACTCATATGTGGATCTTGGGAAACTTAACAGAAGACCATTGGGGAGGGAAAGGAGGAAAAGAAAAAGTTACAGAGAGGGAGGGAGGCAAACCATAAGAGACTCTTGGATACTGAGAACAAACTGAGGGTTATGGGAGGTGGGGGAGAGGGGAAAGTGGGTGATGGGCACTGAGGAGGGCACTTGTTGGGATGAGCACTGGGTGTTATATGGAAACCAATTTGTCAATAAATTATATTTTAAAAATAATAATAAATAAAAACCAGACATGAAAATAATAATAATACATAAATAAAAGAACACTTATATCACTTCAAATAAATAAATAAATAAATAAATAAATAAAAATATAGCCTGGACCAAACCACTTGAATGGAAACTTATAAAGAAAAGGTTGCCGCTTTCCTCAATGACAAAAGCTGAAAAGACAGCATTCCAAGTCATATAATTAAAAATGTAGGAAAGTTCTGGGGTCTTAATATACTAAAGACATTGGAGTAGTATGCAGAAACTACTGGTCAACCTTGAAGATTGGCTGTTTCTCCCTTCCAGGGCCTGTTTCCTCATTTATCCAAAGAGATATTCGCAAATATTAAATAAGCCGAATTTGTATAAATCTGTATTTAAAACGAACGAGGGAAATCATATTTTAAGGAAATTTTGTAGTGAATTCTTTCATGAAGAAGTAACTCTCTGATTTGAGTTTTGTAGATATAAGTCTATACTGCTTAAAATAAGGCAGAACTAGATTTTCCATAGGAAATCACAAGACTTACTTTAAATCGGCATGTTTTGCCCAGCTAAATGAGTTTGTTAACTGATTTTTTCTGTTTTTTGTTTTTGTTTTTGTTTTTGTTTTTGCTTTGTATGGGTTGGTTAGAAAACCTGAGTAAGATGTGCCCATGCTGCACTTGGGACTTTACTATTGCGTATATTTGTGCTGTTGGCTGCTAGTTTGGAGGCTTCCAGTGCTCCTTTTCACCTGCTGCTTCTTGGATGTGAGGCTATTTGCTAAATACTACGTTCTGCTTCTCCTTGCCACCACAGGCAGCCAAAAAAAAAAAAAAATCTTTAACAGCATTCTAAAGTTCATAATATATAGTTCTGCCTTTTGAGACTGTAAATCCCATTGTCCTTGGAAGGATAAGCACCACTTTAAAAATGAGAAATGGGGTGCAGCTTTTATTTTTCAACCTCAGGTACCTCATCCAAAGCTGCAAGTTAGACTCACTAGTTAATATATAGCCATGTCCGTTTTTGGTGAAGCTGAACAGCTGGGGGGTGGAAGGTGCTTTAACAAATAAAACCACTGTTTACCACAATGAAGATCTTTTGTTTCCTTCTAAATTTTGACATGGAATACACAGCCTAATTAACATGCCAGGTCATATTATCCAGTCAGGTCATGAGATTGCATCCAGCCAGCAGGAAGTTAGCAAATAAAGATGAGAGCATATGAAAGGGAATTGCGGACAGTTTGACCCACTGTCAAAGTACCTTTGCACTTGCCTTTGTACATGTGATTATGTGATGCCTCCTTGAGCTCTGATGCAGGGAAAGAGCATGTTTTGAGTGCTGGTGACCCTTCTTAAGCATTTGCTCCAACCATCTCAGTTAGGGTTTCTGTGCTGTCTCTGTTGTGTGTCCAACAGATACTTTTACTGTCTTTGGAGGAATTAAGCCTCTGGGACTTGGTCTTGACAACACACCAGTCCTATCTGCTGTAAATAATTGCTTCAGAACCAAGACAGATGGTTTCTGAGATCAGAGAGGGAGGTCTCACTTGACACCCCAATGTGTTTGCAGCCCGTCCTCTAAAATAGGCCTTTTAAAACACCAAGACAATGGTGAGGGTGAGCCTCTTGGGAAGGTTTATGAGCACACCTGCACCCACTCCTCAATGACAAACTTCTGCCTCTGTTGTTTCAATCTTATGACGTGCTCCCAGGTCTGCTTTTGGTGAATGTGGCTCTTGTATGATAGCCTGCATATGTTTGCTTAAAGGCTACCCTCTTCTTAATGCCGAGGACATGAAGTTGAATGACATAACCCTGCCCTTATACATCTGTTCAAGTTGATCCTACTACCATCAGTGTTTATGGTCTAATATAAGGGACCAACCAGTGAAAAATCTTAATAAGGACCATTAAAATAGCTACTTTCTCTGGAAAGCATAAAAAAGTAGAACTGTAGTACACATTGTCTAGATATACTTAATATGGATTAGTTTTTATATGTTTCTTATATGCCAGTATCTTAGTCTATTCAGGCTACTGTAATAAAATGCCACTGACTGATGGCTTATAAACAACAGAAATTTATTTTTCATAGTACTGGAGGCTGGAGGTGCAAGATCACAGAGTCAGACGAGAGCCCTCTTCTGGGTTGTAGACTTCTCGTATCCTCACATTGTGAAAGGAGCCTCTGGGGGAGCCTCTTTTAGAAGGGCACTAATTTCATCCATGAAGACTCTGCTCTTGTGACCTAATCAGCTCCAAAACGACCCACCTCCTAATGCCATCACACTGGTCATTAGGGTTTCTACATATGAGTTTAGAGGCGCACACAACAAGGAGATCAGATAAGGTATAAAGTAGTATATTTACTTATATTTTTTATCTCCTTCCATCCATCCGTCCACCCATGCTTTCATCCTATGTCTTCCCCCACTGCCACCACTTATTTTGGTCTTGGAGTACTAGTTTTCATGAAATCTTGCAACTCAGAAGACACAGCATATTCTGCCAAATGAAAGACTGAGGTATGATGCTTGCCACATATGTTTTAAGCATCTCCCTGAATCTTTCAGTTCCCCCTTCTCTGAAATGTTTGCTTGCTGATGAGAAGTTTTACCTCTAGTGTCCCCAGAAGAAGTTTTCCAATGTCATTTTATTGGTGGCTATTCTATTATATCAGCCTTGGGAATTCTAGAGAAGAGAAAGAAAAACTTAAGAAACAAGTATTTTATCTCAGAGTATTGGCCAAGTTGAACCATTCTTGGGATTAAACAAATGAAGTGGAGAAAGAATGAGGAAAGCTTCCCCAGGACCCCTCACTCTGTGCATTTTCCTTTCTCTGGCTACCATTGCCAACGGTCCCACACTGTAGACAATGTGTTATATCAAATCTAATAGTCTGAGAAATGATGCTGATTCTATGGCACCAGAATCCCAGATCTTTTCACTGCAGGGTCTTGGACAAGTGACTTAAACCATTCTAGATTAAATCTGCTTCTCCATTTGTGTGAAAGTGGTGACAACAAAATCTACCTCTTAGATTTGATATGTGGATTAATTAAGAAGAATATAAGATGAAGAATATAATTAATTATAATATATATAGAGAATATAAGAATATAAAGAGAATATATTAGAGAATATAAGAATATATATTAATTATAATATAATTAAGATGAAGAATATAAGATGAAGAATATAATTAATTAATATGTGTTGATATGTGGATTAATTAAGATGAAGAATATAAGGCACTTTTCCCAGTACCTGTCTATACTGAGTTCAGTTATTAGTGATTATCATTAAACATTCATATTAAAGTATATCCTTAGTTCCCTTCATCTGTATGTCTTTGATATATTAGCTGCACACTGAGAAACATGACTTTGTTTCTGCATGCTTAGATATTTATTTTTCAGCACCAAACTCTTAAAAAGT